GTCGTCCAGCCGCAGGGGGGCCTCCCCGCCGCAGCTACAGCAGCCGCCAAGGCTACTACTACTACTACTACTAATACTGCTGCCGCTGCTGCTGCTGCTGCTGCTGCTGCTGCTGCAGCAACAATAACAGCAATGTCCTATTATATATATAAATAAAATATAATTAATCGCATAGGTATAAAGACAAACAAAATATTCTTTTTTGCTTCTTCCTCCTCTACGGCCTCATTTGCTGCTGCTGCTGCAGTTAACTGCTGCTGCTGCTGCTGCTGTTAACTGCTGCTGCTGCTGCAGCAACAAGGAACGTCTCGCCTGTTTCCCGCTGCACTCAGCTATTGTTCCTTTACACCCAGTGACCAACTACTTCCCTAGCTGCTGCTGCTGCTGCTGTTGTTGCAGCCTTGCAGCAGCAGCAGCAGCACTAGCTGCTGCAGCTCTTGCTGCTGCTGATCCCTACGATCCTGTCTCACCATCGTCGGCGGCCCAGACACTTGTTGCTGCTGCTGCAGCTGCTGCTGCTGCTGTTGCTGCTCCTGGGCAGCTGCAGTAGCTGGAGCAACAGTCGTGTGTACGTACCTCCAGCAGACACACAAAGACACAGCAGCAGCAACAGCAGCAACAGCAGCAGCAACAAACTTCCAAGAAGCTCGCGGCAACAAATACTGCAGCAGCAGCTGCTGCTGCTGCAGCTGTTGCAGCAACAGCAGCCTCACGAAAGGCAGCAACAGCTAGTCAAGAGGCAGCAGCTGCAGCAGCTGAAGCAGCTGCAGCAATTAGGACAGCAGCAGCAGCAGCAGCAATTGCTGCAGCACCAATTTCAGTAACAGCAGCACTAATTTTATCACTAGCAGCAGCAACAACAACTGCAGCAGCAGCAGGAACGCTACCAACAACTGCAGCAGCAGCAGCAGCACCTGCATCGACTACAGCACCAGCAGTCTCAGCAGCAGCAGCAGCAGCAGCACCTGCATCGACTACAGCACCAGCAGTCTCAGCAGCAGCAGCAGCAGCAGCAGCATCGACTGCATCAACTACAGCAGCCCGATCACCATCTGCAGCAGCATTGACTGCAGCAGCAACAACAACAGCTACAGCAGCAGCAGCAGCAACAGCAGCAACAGCAGCAGCAGCAGCAGCAGCAGCAAGATGGCAGGTCGTCCTGTTATTCCTCTATTGGGCTTTCGCCCTCGTAGTGCTGCTTTCTTATCAGCAGCATTTAAGGGGGCAGAGGTACCTTCTCCTATTAAGGGCAGCAGCAGCAGCAGCAGCAGCAGCAGCAGCACATCATTGCTGCAGCAACAAATGAATGCTGTTGCTGCTGCAGCTGCTGCTGTTCCTGCGCCTGCTTCCTCTGCCTCTTCTTTACCCACATCTAACCGTCAACGGCAGCAACAGCAGCAGCAGCAGAAACAGCAGCAGCAGCAACAACGGCAGCAACATGACGAACCTTCGCCACATAACAGTACAGAGGATGAAAAGGAAGGAGAGCAGCAGCAGCAGCAACAAAGGCAGCAGCAGAAGCAGCAGCAGAAGCAACGAGAAGGAGGCGAAAGTGCAGCAAAAAAATTCAAGGCTAGCAGCAGCAGCAGCAGCAGCAGCACCAAGATTGTTGCTGCAGCCAAGCGAGCGCCTGAAAAGAAAAGCAGCAGGACAAGCAGCAGCAGCAGCAACAGCAGCAGCAGCAGCAGCAGCAGCAGCAGCAGGAGTGGATCGCGGCGTGAGGGTGCTGCTGCAGTACGAACCCTTGACAGTGCATTGGCGCCCAACAGCAACAACAGCAGCAGCAGCAGCAACAGCAGCAGCAGCAGCAGCAACAGCAAAAGTAAGGGGCTATACATGATTTTTTTTTTTTTTTTGCTACCTTATAAACCCTAGACAATAAAAACCCTAAACCCTAAACCCTAAACCCTAAAATAAATCAGCCTATATCCTATAATATATTTTCCTCCTCCTCCAGTGTATTTAATTCTTTTTATTATTTTATTTTATTTATTTATTTATTTGTTTATTTATTTATTTATTTATTTATTTATTTATTTATTTATTTATTTATTTATTTATTTATTTATTTATTTGGGGTATCTGCTGTTATATCTCCTCGTCAGTTAGAGGCAGAAGCAAAAGCACAAAAAGATAACGTCGCCAAAGGAGTTACATGCGGTAGGGTTTAGGGTTTAGGGTTTAGGGTTTAGGGTCTAGTAAAGAAGGGATAATTTAACGATTAGTGATTGTTTATAGACTTAATAATAATTAAGAGATAATTTAGGGTTTATTCTTTTTTTTTAGAAAAAAAATTAGGGTTTAGGGTTTAGGGTTTAGGGTTTAGGGTTTTGGGGTGTATACGCAGCTCGTTTAGAGACAGGGGGTTTAAATAGTTCTATTGGTCGTCTTCTACTAAACCCTGGCGCCTCTTTTGGTCCCGCGAGGGCAGAAGCAGATAGACTAGTAAGTTGTTTGTCTCCTTTTTTTATCTCCTTTTTTTTGTCTCCTTATTTTTCTCCTTTTTTTTTGTCTCCTTTTTTTTGTCTCCTTTTTTTGTCTCCTTTTTTTGTCTCCTTTTTGTCTCCTTTTGGCGTCCTTACGAAGATTCTCTGCTACCTGTGCTGCTGTTGCTGCTGCTGCTGCTGTTGCTGCTGCTGCTGCTGCTGCTGCTGCTGCTGCTGCTGCTGCTGCTGCTCAGCTCTGCTTTGTAATAAATTGCGAAGATCGTCGATTGCGTCTTCATTGTGGCGATGCTTCACAAACCTTCCATTGCAGACCTCGTAAGCAGCAGCAGCAACAGCAGCAACAGCAGCAGCAGCAGCAGCAGCAGGAGGAGGAACAAGAGAGGAAACAGCAACAGCAGCAGCAGCAGCAGATGGTTGTGTTGCTGCTGCGTCTCTGTGTTTTGCTGCAGATGATGAGGTCTTGCTGCGCAAAGGAGATATCTACACATTTACTAACGAGAGGTGAGCCTTTTGCTGCTGCTGCTGCTGCTGCTGCTGTTGCTGCTGCTGCTGCTGCTGCTGTTGCATTTCGTTGTACTGCTGCTGTTTCTGCTGCAGCAAACCGGCAATTAGAGTTGTGTCTTCTGCTGCTGCTGCTGCTGTTGTTGCTGCAGCAAGGTGAAGGTTGCGGAGCTGACGGCAGTGGCAGACTTTGGCCAGCTGCTGTGACCATTAACAGCAGCAGGAGCAGCAACTGCAGCAACAACAAGAACAGCAGCAGCAGCAGCTGCTGCTGCTGCTGCTGCTGCTACCAACGTTCCGCCTGTTTGTTTTTCGAGGGAATTGAATTGGCCTCTTATGAGTGCCTTTAGTCTTTTTTGTCTCCTAGGGTTTAGGGTTTAGGGTTTAGGGTTTAGGCTTTTTAGGGTTTAGGGTTTAGGGTTTAGGGTTTAGTGGGTAGTTGGATTTAAACTGTCAAGACAGCAAACAGCAGCAGACTGCAACGTTGCATCTCGTTGTGCTGCTGCTGCTGCTGACGAAGTGTTTAGCTAGCTAGGCTAGACATACGTGTAGCTAGCTAGCTGGCTAGCTAGCCAGCTAGCTACGCAGATGGATGATAACTAGCTAGCTAACTAGCTAGCTAGGTACGAACATATATGCTAGCTAGCTAGCTAGCTAGCTAGCTGCTAGGTAGCCAAGCAGCAGAGAGTCGGGTGTCTCCCTGTAGCTGTACGTTTGTCTCCTTTTGCTTACTCGGAGACGAGGGTAGTTTGTGCTGCTGCTGCTGTTGCTGCAGCTGCTACTGTTGCTGCCGCTACTGTTGCTGCCGCTGCTGTTGCTGCAGCTGCTACTGTTGCTGCCGCCACTGCTGCTGCTGCTGCTGCTGCTGCATTACGGGTGTTTTCTTGGTGGCCCCACAAGTTCTGCTGCTTGTGTGCTGCTGCTGCTGCACATATGTGTAGCATGTTGTGGATTGCTGCTGAGGACTGCCTCTGGTCTTGCTGCTGCTGCTGTTGCTGCTGCTGCTGCTGCTGTTGCTGCTGCTGCTGCCGCTGGTGGTGTTGGCGGTTCGAAGGAGTCGTCTGGGGAGTTCGTTCTGTTTTCTGCTACTGCTGCTGCAGCTGCTGCTGCAGCTGCTGCAGTTGCTGCTGCTGCTGCTGCTTTAGCTTTTGCTGCAGCACGCTGCTGCAGCAGCTGGTAAGCAAGAACAGCAGTAATAGCAGCAACAGCAACAATCAATATGCTGCAGAGGCCTAGCAGCAGCCAAGCCCATGATGGTGTTTGCTGTTGCTTATCTTTTTTATATTTATTTATCTCCTTATTATCTGTCTCCTTTTTCTTCCTCCAGCTGCTGCTGCTGCTGCTGCTGCTTAATGACCATAAAGGAGACAATTCTTTATTTATACCTGCTGCTGCTGCTCTAAAGAAATCCACCAATACATCATCCTGCTGCAGCACCCGCTGCTGCTGCTGCTGCTCCTCCTCCTCCTCCTCCTCCTCCTCCTCCTCTTCCTCCTCCGCCTCCTCCTCCTGCTGCACTTGCTGCTGCTGCTGCTGCTGCTGCTGCTGCTGCTGCTGCTGCTGCTTGGTTATAGCAGGAGGAGCAGCTAAATCAACATCTATTGTCTTATGAATAGGGGAGGCAACATTAAGAAGAAAACGTCGCCAAGAAGCAGCGCCAATCACTGCATCTTCGTACTGTAGAGAGTCTACTCTGTACATAAACCCTAAACCCTAAACCCTAAACCCTAAACCCTAAACCCTAAACACTCAACACTAAACACTAATTGTCAGGGGGAGAATCATCTGCTTAGAGATAGAATAAATATCTTGGGAAGAAAAACGCAGCAGGAATATATTTATATATATACACACACACCATCAAACCCTAAACCCTAAACCCTAAACCCTAAACCCTAAGCCCTAAACCCTAAACCCTTACTTGAATGCAATAAGCCTTTTATCATTAGTTACAGCACAGAGTTGTACTGCAGCAGGAAGAACACCAATAGTAGAGGAAATACTTCCTACTAGGTAGGCTAATTCTGCTTCCTCTGCTTCTGCTGCTGCTGC